CAAGCGAGTCTCCTGCCTCCGCCTCCCAAGTAGCTGGGACCACAGGCACCCGCCACAACGCCCGGCTATTTTTTGGTTGCAGCCATCATTGTTGTTTAGCGGGCCCGGGCCAGATTCGAACCCACTACCTTTGGTGTATGTGGCTGGTGCCTTAGCCACTTGAGCCACAGGCGCCAAGCCAGGAATTTAATTCTTAAGTTCTGCCCACTTCACTCATCTTTGTTACCAGCTTGGGCCCTACAGGCATTTAATGTCCAAATCACCTCCAACCTCTCTCCCACTACTGTATATAATAAGTCTTCAATATGCAAATAAATACTGCCAAACTGGTTTGAATAGGCAATTTTTTTCAAATGCTGAATACATTTTAGAAATGCTGATCCATATGTAATTATAATTTATAATTATTGTAACCATATAACAGGATGGATCTTTTTTTTTTTTCTGAGACAGAGCCTCAAGCTGTCTCCCTGGGTAGAGTGCTATGGCTTCACTGCTCACAGCAACCTCCAACTCCTGGGCTCAAGCGAGTCTACTGCCTCTGCCTCCCAAGTAGCTGGAACCACAGGTACCCGACACAACGCCCGGCTATTTTTTGGTTGCAGCCATTACTGTTGTTTGGCGGGTCCGGGCTGGATTTGAACCTGCCACCTTAGGTGTACGTGGCTGGCGCCTTAACCGCTTAAGCCACAGGTGCCAAGCCAACAGGGTGGATCTTTAGATAAACATCAAAACATGAATGAAGGAAATAAAAACTACTTACAAATATTAGTCCCGATATCAAAGAAGACGTCCCTGTAAGTGCCACATAGAATTTGGGTGTCAATGAATTTAAAAATACTGCCACTGTCAAAAGAAAAAAAATCAAAGTTAAAAAAAGTCAATAAAAAGTACAAATTTAAAGTTCGTAAGTTACAAATATGCAGGTGTCTTTATGAGTGGCAGGATATTAGTATTACTATCTAGTGTAAAACTCATTTGAGAGAGTTATAATTTTTATAAAGCTACTTTAAACTGCCATTTTACCATATATTAAAAATGCATTCACACATGTAAAGGTAAGATTTAACACTGTTGGTTAAACAAGCAGCAAATCAAAATGAGGTCATTAAGCTTGCTTTTGAGAATAAAACTAGAGCATTCATAAATCTTAATTCCAACAAGAATTTTTGCCACCCCGTAAAGATAAGGAAACTGAACAAAGGCGGTTCAAAATAACCCCATAATTATTTTGATCTTTCAAACTGGAAGGAAACAGTGTAGTATCTGGTATGTCAGCTAGCTGGGCAAAATAGCTCAAAGAGAAAAAGCAACAAAACTGAGAGCTCTTTGCGCCTGATGAAATTCTCGGCCAGATTCTCCACTTTAAATATATCTCCTTTAGATTTCAGAAAGTCATAAAAATCTATAATATTCAACTAGTCTCACTTAAATGGTGTACCTGGTGAACATGTAGAAAAATAAATGATACATCAATGAACAACATTCCATTGAGCATACAAACCACCACTGAACACGTCATTCATCTGTTACGGAGACACCAAATTAGGTCTTCAGTCTAGCCTGTTTTAGTATACTAGTTATAGGTAAATTTACAGTATACCTATCTTCTAAAAAAAATTTAGAATATTTCAGAACATTATCTTATAGTCTTTCACATTATCTCATGGGATAGGAAAGGGGAAATTGGCTTTCTTCTGCTACAGAAAAATAAACTACTGTTGTACAGCCAGCCAAACTCACCATGAAACAGATTAACACTTCCAACTTCAGAGGTTGTTTCTCAGAGCTGGAGTGAAATACCACTTATTGTAATGACATGGTAAGAGGCTCTGCGCCCCATCCATTTTGTCCTGTATACAACTTAATACTACAGTATTTGCAGAATCAACGGGACCATCACTTATTACTTATCTTTGTATTTTCAGTTCAGACTACACAGCAAGCACTTCACAGATGTAGAAAAAGGAACAAACTCAACTGCTGTTTAGTGGTGGTGGGGGGAGGAGGAGTGTCTCTTTTTCTTGCTATACTGTTCTATTACTCAAATTGAAGTCAAAAGGAACACACAAAAATACCAAGAAAAAAAATTTTTTTTTAGACTGAGTCTGTCACCGTGGGTAGAATGCCATGGCATCGAAGCTCACAGCAACCTCAAAATCTCAGGCTCGAGCAATCTTGTCTCAGCCTCCCGAGCAGCTGGGAATAGGGGTGTGCACTACTACACCTGGCTAGTTTTTCTATTTTTAGTAGAGACAAGGGTCTCACTCTTGCTCA